AAAAAAAAAGTCCCAATTTTTGGAAAGAATACACGGCAAGCTAGGGTACGGTCTATTTGGTGCACATAGACCAAATTTTTAATCGAGAACCTCCCACCCACCCCTGGTCAATGGTATCCCGCTTTCAATCTGGTCACCTTACACTAGATCCACAAGACTTCCCACCCACTGGCCTGTGATCTTCCCGCATTTGGCGTCATTGCGTGTGTTTCATGAGTCTGAAAAGGACTTTATAGGCTGGTATCAGACATATGGGCTAATATTGGACCTATGGACTTGATCTGGACTGGGCTGGGCTGCTTTCTCAATATTCAACTGCTCTTGTACATAAAGCTCTTTCTTATACACATATAAGTGTCTATGGATTTATTTCTCTATTCTACCCAGACTAACACAGAATTGTAATCCATATCAAGGACTTTGATTCCCATCACTAAATATTTCAAGTCCTCTTGGCTTTTATCAAGCAAGGCTGTGTCATCTACATGTTATAGGGTTGTTAGGAGCCTTCCTCCAATCTGATGCCATGTTCTTCTGTATCCGCACCATTTATTGGATTATTTTCTCAGCATACAGATTGAATAAGAATAGTGAAAGGATACAAGGATCAAAGAAGACTTGATGGCACCTAACAACATCAACAACAACATTAACTAAGGATTGTTGGATTAAAGGAGGTACTACATGAAAAAAAGTATATGTAATGCCCAGCACAAGTAAGTCCTCATGTTAGCTTCTAGAAAGAGAATCTTGAATGGCAACAATTTGGTTGGCAGCAGGAACCAGAACGTAGCACTGAGGATCCACCAGGTTCAGGTGGATCGAATACAACGGTGGCACCCTGTGATCAATATGGTGGAGAGATGTGAATTCCTTTTGTGAGTAGTCCCCAGTATGAGTCAACATTAACTGTCATATGTAGGGGGATACTTGGTGCTGTGGGAGTTCTGCCAAAGCACCTACATGTCAATGTAGCACAGAATACTTGTGGGTAGAGAATGTAGCTTTCGAGGCAAAAGGATTTGGATGCAGCAGGCCTTTGAATTGTACTGATCCTCAATTCTTGTCTGAGGACAAATATCATAAGATTACTTGGGATATATGAGGGGCCTTCAAAACTTTGTGGGAAAATTCCATTATCTTTTAAGTCCATTTTCCTATGAAGCTTCTTTGTATATATATTTAAAACCAGGGAGAGCCTCTTATTTCCAGTTCTATTACTAACGCCTTTCTCAGAGCTTCAGTCTAGAAGCGGATCTGTTATGTGACATGCTGGGGGAGCGGACATTGATTTGCGTAGGAACAGGAGCTGCGAGGAACTACAGACAAAGGACACGAGGAGAGAGGAGTATCAGAGTATCACGGTGAAGCCTTAACATTTCACTGCCTTTGAATGGACGCCAACTCACAGTGACCCTACATGACAGGGTAGAAGTGCCCTGAGGGGTTGACAAGCCTGCCATTCTCTATGGGAGTAGAGAGCCCCATCTTCCTCCAGAGTAGTGACCGGTGGTTTTGAACTGCCAATCTTGTGGATCACTGACCAATGCGTGATCATTACACACACCACCCAGACTCTTAACATAGTTGGATTTATTGAAAAGCCCCCAATCAGTATATCTACATTTCAGTTTCAGTTGCCAGAGTCTTCTAGTGGACTTTCAGCATCACGCTTGCAAATATAAGCCTTGATCTCTCCAGGGTGATTTCCCCGTAAGTGACGCGCGGAGAAGCCAGCTTTCTCAGCTGGTACTAATTAACATGGCGGCGCACTCTCACACTTCTTTCATATCGTCATGAATTATTTTCCTCAGAACTGCAGCTATGTAAAAAACATGATTAGCTGATTAATGTATGTTATATCCAGTACATAGTAAGTTAAACAAGATTTTTATATCTGAGCCAAGACATGTGGGGGATTCTTTGTTCTCAATAATAACTTAAGTATCACTCTATTTAACATATGCATCAATGAGGAAGGTTCTCTGTCCTTTCAGTGACGACGCTAGCTAAGATACAAAGACTGACATTACATAAGGAAGGCCCCAATCGGGCTGGCCAGCGTTCCTCGCAAACTAATATTCAGCCATCAGAAAGTCCATAAAGCAGTTCCTTTACATGAAATTCACAAGGCACACAAGGCAAACATATGATGACATAAAAAGTGATCCTTTCTATGTCAGTTGTGTCTCTTCAGTTTTGTTTCTCATGTGGCTGTCCAAAGACAACTTTGAAGCTGTCTGCAACAGCCCCGTGCTGAGTGACGGCTTCATCGTTGCGGCAATAAGTAGTTTTCAGAGGGGCAGATCTTGTGCTGAGTGATGGAATCTAGAAGGAAAGAAAAGCAGCTGAAGCATTTACAATGGTCAGCCACATAAAAAACGTATAACTTTAGAAATATACACAAAATCATACTTTCAAAAACCTTAAATCATGCAGAAAAGCACTATTCATCTGGCCAAGTTGCTCATGTGGCAATTTAAATAAAATTAATAAAAGTAGCATAATATAAAATTCTTCAGTCACGCTAGCAACATTAAAGTGCTCAATTGCCACATCCCCTACTAGCTGTGGCAGATTTTCATCGCAGAACACTCCGTTCCTTGTAGAAAATTCTATTAAACAAAGTAGAATTCGCCAGACCCAGGGAAGGAGCCCAGGTAGCACTGCGTTAATAACTGAAAGGTCAGCAGTTTAAGCTCACCAGCCACGCTGCAGGAGAAAGATGAGGCTTTCTTGCTTTGGTAAAGAGTTACAGTCTCAGAAACGGCTGATGAGTGGGGACGGGCTTGATGGCAGTGGAGCGGATAGGATGCAGGAGAACTGAGTTAAAATGCCAGCAAACTCTCGCACACACTCTTAGGCGCACAGAAAAGCCAGTACGTGCTCAGCTGCTCCTCCTCAAAAGGCTGGGGCTCTGCACCCCTCACCCTCAGTGGAATGGATTGACCCCCTCGCTGGCCACGGCCATGGGCTCACTGCAGAACTGGGTGATGTTTCCATCGGGGAACACAGGGTCTAACGGGGTTGGAACAGACTCGACAGCCCCTCACAGCAGCAGCAGCAGCAGCAGCAGCAATGGTTCTGCAGGGGGAAGACCTGGCGATCTGCCTCCATGGTCCAAACCGGGCACCCCTCAAGGCAGTTCTTCAGTTATGTGGGGCCCCTGTGAGTTAGAATGGACCAACACCACCACAAAACTGCACACATAAGTATACAAAGTAGTCTCCAATTATGACAACCATCGATGAGTTCTAGGCCATGCCCTCCTTCCTTCCGACCTGTCTACCGATGTACCTATTGTACACGGAGCATGAAATAGGAAGAATTTCAATTTTTTCAGTTTTCAGTGGAAGAAGTCGGACAGATGAGCTCTAAGGACCTGGTAGTTGGAAACCCTAACATTTAATTAACACACGGGTGGCGGCCCTCAGACCAGCCCGTGGCACAGGGCTACAGCCCCTGCGGAGGACATAGCTCAGCTGCCCTCGGACACCTCCTTTATCTTACAGGGGACGCGGCACTGCTCCATTCTTAATGCTCCTTTCAGAGTGGAAAGGAACGGAGTGGGTCATCCTCGCTGACCGAGACACTAATCAGGAGGTGTGTGTGTGTGTG